AACGCGGCCGAGTTGATGGGTGCTCGCGCACTCAACACAGCACTGTTCGCGGGCACCTCGAGTGCGTTTTCAACGGTTCGCGGGCACAATCGACTCGGCCGCATTCGCCGCGGCCGCGCCCAAATGGTTAGGTATTGTCTGAGAGCCGTTTGATCCAAACAATTGACCTGTTCTTCATCAGCGATGTTACAACATCAATTCGAAAATTAAGTGTATTCAGATGTGCGGTGAGGCTTGCTGTAGGTAGACAACCTCGCAAAAAAAGGGGGGGGGGTCGAATAACAGGCGGTCGTTATACACATAATAGCTTCGAAATTTGAAATAAAACCAGTGTAACTAGTGCATAAATCAAATTTCAATATTTAAAGTGAAGGAGGTCGAAAATTCACAGCTACTGTCGCACAGCTGACTATAAATGTGAGAACTTTAAAGCAGTAAATTAAAATCTAAAATCTCACATGCAGTCTTTGTCGCTTCCGCAAATAATACAGCCATTGGAGAACTTGCTGATCTTCTATGAACTTTGCATTCGCTCCTAAATTATTTTAGCATGAAGCAGCGAAAACAGCGACGATAGGATAGATGAAAATACCGAACCTGAAGTAAGAGCTTCTCGAAAGTTATTGCACTGAAGGCACTCAAGAATATGAAGGCACTGCGGATACTTCAAAGCCCTGTAATGGAAACAATTGAACTGTGATGAATACAAGGTTCTGCAACTTCACGAGAAAAACTTGACTAAGACTTGACTTCAAAAAATAACTTAGCAGTCAGTCATGAACTATTACGATCTTGAAACTTCTGAAAGTCGTTACGTTGAAAAGGATAATTGATGGTTCTTATCAAAAACGCGAGCCCTTACTTTCATTACGCTACATGGCGCCCTTACCCTTCCTTCACCAGGATCTTTAGGGATTTTTTCAAAGGGATTGTTTACTTTCACGAATACGACATTGCTTTTTGGCACAAGAGCGTTTGACATCCTTAAATGAAGTTCACTTATGGGCGCACGCATAGTCGGTCGTCCGACAGCAACGATCGCAACTGTCTGACTGTCTAACTGCATCTAATCGTCGAATACTCAGGCAAGTCCGACGATCGATACGCATCCAATGCTGTGCGACAGTTACGATCGTTGCTGTCGTCCGACCGACTATGCGTGCGCCCATACCATGACTCTGCGCAAACAGCATATTTGTGATCAGAGCTTCTGTGAGAAATTTGCCAGAAAATTCTAAAGTTTTGGAGTTAATTCGCGGAGTAGTGAACAAAATATGATTGATGTAGATTAAAGCAGAGAGCACAACATGAGTGAAAAGTGGCATATCAGTTCTGTGAAGAGCACTGCACTTCTTTGTATCCTATTGAAGGACCAAAACCAGACGATAAAGAACGTAAACAGCATGAATGAGGAGAGCTATACTATTCCTATTTACACTGTACGAATTCTACTGTGTTAAACAAAGGATGAAATGTATATAATGTGTGTAAATTAAAATACTCTTTGAATGAGTGGAGCTCGAGCCTGGAAAATTGGGAAAAAATACCTCAAGACAGAGGCGAAATTATCTGCGAGACATGCCACTTTCTAAGTCAAACTTCTCGTCTTACGCAATGCGCTTATGTTGCTAGATGAAAAAAATAAACTCCACAGGTATTAGTGAAAATAAGCTATATCCAAATAGTCACTCGACATTTGCCAAGGAAAAAAGCTTGTCAAAACTTGTTGGTGAAGTGCTGTCAATAAGATGCGCAGGACAATTTCAGAAAAACTTTGTTCTTCATGAGCCATATTTCTCTGGTCTCCAAATTGCACGATAATAATGATGCAGAGCCATTTTTCAATTGATTTTGTGTTGCCAAATCCAAAAGGAATGTACAAGAATCTGAACGAGCCTTGCCCCTTCACTCAACAGTCAGCTCAAAGGCAAAAGCTTAAACCTTCTTGTGCAGTGCGAAAGATTCCCGTAGGCGTCTAGTGGACTACATATTGAAGTCCCAATTTAAAACTTTAAATCATTGATGAAAAATCTCGAATGAAGTTCTTTAAGGTCTATTTGATGAAGAGAAGCATTTTGGTGCGGAGCACCTGATTGATACAGTAAAAACTTCGACGAGCATTTTCTCTGCTCGAAGAAAGTAATGCTCACCCGGCTTTCTTTTACAGAAGGAAATTGACTCGCCCACCCAGAGCCTCCTCCTTTAAAATCGAGTTGTTATTTCCATACGAACTACCACCAATACAGCTCCCTTGATAACACAGACCCATGTAGAGGGGTGGCCAAAAAAACGCTTTGCTCATGACGCACATCAGCAAGCTTTATCTCACACAGGATGGAGTGATGCATGAGAGCCTTCCCGCAAAATATTTCTGAAATGCCCCTTATACGAAGCGGCGAGCCCTACATCACCGTCTTCAGAATATGACGTCATCTGCCATCACCGTCGAGCTCAAGAGGCCTACCGTAATCGCTCCAGCCTGAAGCTGCTACATAATTTCTTCAATCATTAACTGGTGAATAGCTTCCTAGAGACAGTAGCTGTGAATGTGCAGACCTCTTTCAGCAGCGTTCAAGATAACGTCGTGGTGGTCCACGATCCGTCGAAGAATCTTGAAGCTAGTGTGTACCGTGTACCCGAAACAGGTTCTTCTAATGTTTCTTGTGTAGAGAGTTGTTATAAAGTCGCCCAATGAAAGGGAACGTGCTCTTCAATTGTAAAACGGAATCGTCGAGTTTGAGACTAGAAAGGTGCTATTAATCGGCCCTAAAAGTGAATAAAAGTGACTCTTTTTGTTTTGGCCACCCCTTTACATTGCAAGAGCTTGACTCCGGCAAACATGAGTCAACGAAAAAGAAGAAAAGAAACAAGGGATAAGATAAAGTTAGCTGCTCAACGTTCAATGATACTTGGGGAGATATTCATTTCTATCGGTCACTTAAATGGTGAAATTGGTCATACGCACTCAGTGACAAGATGAGCAATTATACTTAATGACCTGCTGGGAATGGAGCCGATAAAAATAAATTGGAATGACAACGAAGGTATAACTTCGCCCCAATCACACCCGAAAAACGGCTTCGCAGACCTGTTTTAGTTTTTCAAATCTTGAGTAGTTTTGGAAATTTACCTGGCATATTCCGGTTGTTTCCAGTACAAAAGGTATTTGAGATAATTAATGAAGTGCTGCTCCTTTAAAAACCCACGCTGCGCCAGAACTGGAATGCCAGATTTCAACGTTCAGAGGAAACAACAATATTTTCAGAATCCATCTGAGATGAAAAGATGAACTCTAGTGCAATAGGAACCTACAATTCACATAATGAGGGTTGGCGAGAGCCTGGACGAATTCGCATTCGATTTCAAAACGTCTCCTTTGCTCTTCTGGAGGCTCCAGTTGGGCTGTTGAAAGTTGTACTAAATATATGAACTTACAAATATGTACATCCACAGAGCTGCATGATGCAACTCATTTTTCAGGAATCTTTATATTTGAACGCGGCTGCATATTTGTACACCAAATAAGCCTCATTGTGAAGGATTAGGTCAGTGTCAGATTTTGTTAATCCAGCGATTCGCTAGAATCGCTGGATACGAGCGTTGCGCCAGCAAATTGAACGATGTACCAGCGAATCGACTGCTTGGAAGTGGCGGAAGTCAATTCGAAAATTGGCTCTATTTCCCTGGCTCAAAGGCATGAGAGCTCGAGAAAGCAGTGAGAGTCAACTGCAAACAAGAGGGAGCCCCACCACTTTCAAGTAACGTCGAGCCGTTGGTACACAGCTCAATCCGATCACATAGCTCGATCAGCTGGTGCAACGCTCGTACCCTGTATTCGCAGTCTGACACCGGCCTTAGCTGCATTTGGCAAAGAAAAGAAAATATAAACTCGTCTCCAATGTTCTCCATCCCCTCCCTCCCAATACTTAAAAGTTTTTTCGATCACACAGCAAGGTGCTCTCCCCCTTCCAACTAAGATGTCGGTCAAACTCTGCGATTGCATCGCGCGATGCAATCGCAAAGTCTGACAGACATCCAAGGGATCAAATTCGCACGACAAACCCAGACAAAAGGCTATACGCAGAAATGCGCAGTTAATACGACAATTCGTTTGTCTCGTTAGTGGGCACAATAGGGAAACCACAAACGGGTATAGCGGAATAGTGAGAGAACGCTTTCTTCAGCTCAACTCCCAAATAAAGCCTTCCCCTGTACGAAGCATCCAAGTAATGACCGACAAACCTATTTTCTGCAAAGGAGGCATGATTAACTTTTTTAGAAGCTTGAGTTTTAGTTTTGAGTCATCATGCTAGAAACTTGGATGACCAAGAAAGTCTTCTATCTGAAGCAATGGGAAGAGCATAAGCTACATATTAAAAAAAAAGCGAAACATAAGGTTAACAATGATAAGAAGCTCTGACACGATTACGACATATAAAGTAGACCACTAACTTCAGATATTTTGAAATGAACTTACTTTTATAATCCATACCGCTAATTCCAACGAGACATCACAGCTGAAGAGAACGATTTTATGCAAAGACGAATGGGCACCATTTCATTTCGAACATCTGCCGATCGTGTGTGAATACGTACGACCACTGGTTACCGTAACCTTACGTCTAGTTTATTCTTCTTTGAAGACCTTGCATTACGATGGCTACCGAGGCGGCTCATGGGTGCGATCACAGAAACTCTCATGCTTTTATAACAAACCAATATGGAGGAGAGTGCAGCAAATTCGGCTGCTTGACCCTTGGAGTACTAATAGAAACCTCTGGCAGGAGAAAGGTTTTCCTTTCAAGATAATCCAGCATCCTTCTATTCTACAAACCTCTAACCTGGTGTGTCTGTATGTATCCTTCTATTATATAAACCGCTAACTTGGTGTGTCGGCTTGTATGTATGTGTGGGCTCCCCCACTTTCTTCATGATTTAGGGCGC